GCAGTGGCGCCTTAAGAAAAAAAAAAGGAGAAAGTGGGGTCACAATATACAAACAAACACACACACAAAAAAAGAAAAGGCCTCTTCAGTACAAAACTGTTAGAAACATCTCAAAAGCCGCCTGCCCACCATCAGTCTCGGAAGGAGCACAAAGGGGCGGGTGGAAATAAAAGAAGAGACGTAAAGAGACACCGAATACACACGCACACACACACAAAGAGAGAAAGAGAGAGAATAGCAATAGGATTTTTGCCAAAAACATCGTCACAGACACAAACATTCCTCCCCTCTTGTCGTGTTCTCAAGAACAACTGGCCCACGGAGGAGGTGCGTGCATTGACCAGGAGTCCCCACATCATTGACGACGCTCACAGATCTCCATTTCTCCCAGGAGCGATCGAACATGGCATCTTACATCCCTTTTAGGCAAACAAGGAAAGTCAAACTAAATAAAGAGCTAAAATTGATATAAATTTATCAATGGAAAAATTTATTATATCACACTCCACAAAAACACCTACAAACGCGCACACACATTCCCTCTAGTCTCTGGTATATATAAAAAAAAAGCAATGTGGCTCTTTGTCATTCATACATCCTCGGAGGTTCGTAGTAAAAGCAAAGACCGTTTTATTTTTCTCCCCCTCCACTTCCCCTTTTTTTCTTCCCAGCGCCATACAGAGGCATGGTAGTTCTCATTCCCGCACTGTCTGTAAATGGCAGCGCCACCACCATCGCCTGCAAAGATTTGCATGGCCCCATCATTACCCAAGAAAAAAGAAAAAAAAAAGAGAAAAAAGGAATGCACCGATAGGAAAATTAAAGGCAGTGCGTTTCATTCCTTTTTTTCCTCCTCCTCGCTCACTGCCAATTCTTGGGGTCTTCCACAGTAATTTGATGTCGGTTCCACGGAATTGTTCTTGCTGAAATAAACGGACGAGCCGTAGACGGCCGCCGATGGTCGCCGCACGTAAAGCTTCCGCACCGAATTGGTTGAGGTGTCGTAAATTTCCTTCGGCAGGCGAAACGTACGCGGTTGGCTGGGCTGCGGGAGCAAATTCGTGCCTCCCTCGCCACTCTGCGGAACTCGCACTTCGTCGCTCTCGCCACGGAGGGCGACGGCATCAACTGTTAAATCCCCTTCATCCCCCTCTTTCGTGGCCGAAAGGAGGCTTGAAGACGACAACGAGCGCACACGCGTCAAAATGACACTCGCGTTTTCAAGAATACTGCGGTTGTCCTCTCCGACCAGCAGCGCCCCTTCCACATCCCCGCCGGTGACGTTTTGTGGCACCGCCTCCACTTCGGGATAATGCCGTCTTCTTCTGGACTCTGTGGCTGCCATCCTGCGTCTCCTCCAAAAGACGCTCCATACGATGCATAAGATCATGAAGAGTACAGCAACGACAAAAATGCCACCAAGCAAAATGGCCATTGCAGTGTCGCTGCCTCTTTCTGTATTTTCCGAGGGAGGGTCGCTAGTAGGCAAGTTCATTCCCTACAAATCGTGGAGGAAAGGAAGATACACGCCCCACTGCCACTTTTCTCTTTTCTTCCTTGCCGTCGGGCACAGCCTGAATGACCGACACAACACACACAAATACAGTTGCGTGTTGACAACACCAGCCGCCAGAGAAGGGCGTGGAAAAAGAAAAAGAAAAAATATATATATAAAAGGTAGACACAACCACAAAATCAATGGGCACGAAAAGCAGCAGTTCTTTCACTCCACCCACAACCGGTGGCCAAAAACCCCCTCTCAAACTCCACTTCTCTCCCTTTATTCTATTTTTCTCACCATCCTGCAGACATGCACCTCATTTTTTCCATTTTTTCCCTTCCTGCCCCTCCCCTCGACTCTTTCAAGCACGTGGAATATTCAATGCCCCCCCTTTCTTTTTATCCCGTTGTCATGTGTTCTCCTCTTCTGCAACAGCCACCCAACCATCCCTCCTCTCTCTTCATTATAACAACTCCCACGGGTCAATTAAACCTCTCGCCATGCGGAGAGAACAAGAAAAGAAAAAGAAAAGAGGGAAGAGGCGTAAAAAATAAACGTCCAAACAACAACAACAAAAAAAAAAAGCAAGCAGGAACAAAAGGCTAAATGTCATGCGTGAAGAATTAATGTGCAAAAAAAAACAATATTAAAAAAGAAGTATGTTTTTTTCGCATTTTTAGACCTTCAGCTGTTATATATTCTCTTTTGTGTCCGTGGGGTTTACTTTTTCTCAGGTCCGATGATTTCCTCTCATTTCCCTCTGGGCGTCATTCAACTCAAAGCACGCCGCGAATTGTTTAAGTTTCTTCTCCGTCCGGTTGTCCCCCACCGCCTCTTTTTGTTAGTCTCCTTTACAAACTTCCCAGAATGTGGCCAAAGGCGGCGTTATTGCCATGCTCCTCCCTGAAGTACTCGCGAAGCTGGGGTTGGCTGCGCAATGCCTGAATGAGCACCTTCTCCGGCAGGTTAACAAGAAAGCTGCTGCACTCCCGGTAGTGCTCCTCTGCAAACAACAAGACACCACGCCAGAGCTTCGTGTCCTTCTCCCATGTGGCATCCTTCGCAAGCGGCAAAAGCACCACATGATGGACAAAGCGAACAAGGTCCGCGTGTGGCCGTTGGGCGTGGATTTTGCAAGCAAGGATCAAAGTTACCATCAGCTGCGGGGGAACAGACGACACATTGCTAATAATACCGCTTCTGCCGCTGCCGCTTCCACCAACACCGCCAAGTTGTTGCATCACTTGACGCACCGCGCTCTTAATTTCCTCGGGTCCGTACAAAAACTCCGTCGTGGTGCCATCAAAGGTTCGTGTAAGTTTCAACAGCACGGCAATGACCCTTTTCGTCGTGAACGGACTAATGGTAAGATATTCTGCTATTGGCTTCGTTCCTGCAGCCTCCTCTGTAGCTGCCGTGGAAGAAAGGCCGGCACCCAAAATACCGCGTAATTCTTCTCGTCCCGCGCTTGCAGACAACGTGGAATTTTTGCCCGCCGCCACTTGAGAATCCGCTGCATTTGACTCGTGTGAGGCGGAGTGCAAGTAGACAAGAAGGTCTGTTCGTGAAAGACCACGAGCAATACCATCGGAGAAGTGCACGGGCGAACGCACAAGAACTTCTCTCACAACGTCTCGAATAAATGCGTCCAGTTCTTCACTATTCATTCGTGTTACTTCTGCAGTCGCA